GCCCTCGGCAATGCATCGTCGCATACCGTCTTGCCCCTATGACTTCAATCTGAGGGCGGCCGTCGCCTGAACCCTGTGGCGAAGCCTCCTGCCACCGTCAGGGAGTCCGCTCGCAGCGTGTGTTGTGTCTCTCTTCCTTTTAGGTACGGTCATGATGTGAAAGTAGCCTCGGCCTTGTCGATCCCAGACGCCACGTCAGTAATACCTCTCTATCCCAAGTCTCTATATTGGAATGGAGGACCGAGTGTGATGGGCGTAGTAGTACGTACTCGGCGTTGGTGGTTTCAAGCGGCACCACGGCATGCTCAAGAGAGAGCAAACCCTAGACTTGGTTGTGCTCCGCCGTCGCTCGCAGGGTTCGTACATACCGTAAGATTGCTCTAAGCTTGGCGATCTATCGTTGCAAAGCACCGCTCTCTGACTCGCAAGTGCGTAGAGCAAGTATGTTTCAGTTCATCTAGGATGCGAGAGATGCGCACAATCTCCACATATAGGCAAGCCCTTAGTGTCGATATTCTCCCTGGACGCTCCGTACACACAGGAGTGATATTGGGGTTCATCTGGAGAAATGACACCACACATATTTCAACATGTACAAGTAGGGTGTTATACAAAGTAAACGAACAGAGAGGTGGCACTGCCTTCCACCCCATCATGACTATGCACACACTGGGCGGCTACCTTCAGGAGATCGCCGTATAGCGGTACCTTAACCGGTTTGGATAGGATAAGTGAGCTACAGAAAGAGCAACGCGGCAAGAATCGAACGTCGCAGCCCCGGAGCGCACGCAGATAGTCTTCGTTGACAACGACGGGCACTGTGCGAAGCGAGGGAGGAAGGGTGTTAGCCGCAGCGGCCTCTTCAACCCGCTTCTCGAGCAATGCTCGAAAGACTGTTGATAGACATGCAAAACATAGTCTGTGGCGGCATTTCTCCATCCTGATAGAGCCCGTCAGCTGGTGGCGACAGACATTGGGCATGCGCGTACAGGTAGATATCCACGGCAAGTGCTTGGCATTGCTGGCAACGAATCGAGACCCCGCGGTCTTTCTCGAACTGCATGCAGAACGATTCAGATATTCGGCAATACGAAGGACAGCGAAAGGTTTACAGTAGATGCAAGTATAGATCGAACACGAAAGACTCCATTCATTGCATGACGGATGTCAGTGCGCATTTTCTCGAGGCAGAGACGGTAAGAGAGATCCTGCCACACGGTGCGAGTAAGGTAAGGTCTAGATTGATATGCGCATAACCTAGCTACCTGCTTGGATTGGCGGGAGGGGTGTGATTTGGACCGCGTAATCATACCATGCTCTGCAAGATGGGGTCCTGCGTCGTATAATAAAGACGAATTATACGCTCGAAGGGCGGCCTCAAGGTGCCCAATCGTCCGGTCAAGCAGAGCATCCATGACGCAGCACAGAGAGACTGCTGGTGTGGCGCTACGTCGTCTAAAGCACAATGCTAGGGGGTCTTTTATGGCTTGAAGGGGTGTCGAACGGCCCAGATGATAAGAAAGGGGCCGATGGGGCGATACGAATCCGGCAGAGTGCGCGACTTGCGATGAGGTCCCCTGGCACTGTCAATCACTGCCCTTCCTCATCGTCCCCTTCTTTCTTATGCCAGGGCCCGTAGGCCACCGATACCGATCGTACGAGCTGACGGAGACGATGGCTGTTCGAAAGAAAAGTTGCTCCGGCGGTTGTGATGTTGTGCCCTACATCGACCCACGCTCATCCTGATGCCCAGCATCGCGAATCGCTGTTGGGCTGCGCAAAGACGATCATCGATGTAGATGCGTATCGCTACTGACGGCTAGCGCACCGTCAATGTTCCTCCACACGCTCTCTTCCGGCTATGTCCTCGAGGCGGGTCTCGGGGATGTCCATGAGGTCACAAGCTGTCCGAGATTCCAATCGGGATCACCAGCCATCCAAAGAGCCCAAACACACGGACCAAACTCAATATCGCGTGTACGCTGGCGGTTACCAATATTTGACCCGATAAACTTGGGCAGAGCTCATAATGATCTGGTCAAAGGTCAAATGGGTATTGAGACCACCACAAAGAGAGCAGGGAAGGAGGTAGAAAGCGATTGCCTGTCGCCCAGCTCGGCCTCTACTACTGCGGGTCCGGGTCATTGGCAACACAAAGCAACGCGAGTACACGGACAATGCCGAAGACTGTCCTTCGATTTCGAACGGCCGTGCGAGTCTTGCCCTAAGCACCGACCACTCCTCGCACCGGATCCCCTCACCCATTCGCCTCGAGGTGAACCAGTGACAAATATGAGGGCCCTACAGGGACGGTCGTCCGCTCATTCGAAAGCCATATGAAGGCGGGATCACAATGCGCCCATGGGTTACTCGCGCTTCTATTCTGACCTCCGTAAATGGCGAATATATCCACCGGAGACGAACAGACCATGTCTACAGATGGTGCGTCTAGATATGACGCTTCATGGAGACCACATACTGACGCTTGATATATAGACTCAGGTCCTTGTCTTCTATTCACAGTCGTCGATGTCTCCAAGGCAAGCCCGGCTGCCATCAAAATCATTCGTGCTGGTGCTGTACCCATCCCCGCCGAGCTTGAGGAGAATTTCGGATGGGACGAAGCGCCCTCTTTCCCGCTTAGCCATTCGTTGGCTTCTGTTGACGACGCTGGCGCGTCGGAGGGTTCGTCGGCTCGAGCACTGACGGCCAAAGAACATGCAAACCGCATCAAGCGCAATCCAAGGAGGCGCGCCCTCGTTCCTCCGGCACCCACCGGTCGCCACTCGAGGCTCTTCCAACAATTGTTGCGCTCGAAGACTCGTAAACAGCTCTCAACCACTGGGAAGTCTACGGAGAACTCCCCAATCGCCGCTCACGTCGCGAGCATGGTTTTATACTCGGCGCAGAACGACCAATCGTCTGCAGAGCGCACCGACGCTCACCCTATCATGGAGGACCAGAGTTACGATGGCAGTCATGACGCGTTGAATCATGACGACGAATGTTACGTCTCGAAGTCAACTTCGAAGGACACACACGATGCGCGCGAAGCTACTTCAAACTCGGCCGAGGACCTGGCACTCGCTGTGAGCTTCGAGCGCTTCCTTGCTGCCGATACACTTGCGGAGCCTTCAACTTCTTTCACCGAAATGGCCCCTTCGCTAGACTGGGACACTCTGTCGTTGCCTTCCTCCTCCCCTTCGGTCGTGGAGACTATACCATCGCAATCCCCATGCTCTACCGTCTTCGCCGAATCAGTCCCTACGCCCGACTTAGTTACTCCACTGCCACTCTCTTCTCTCGCGGACGCCATGCCTTCATCGTTCCCGGCGTCTTCCGCCGTCGCTTCTCTCTCCCCACCGGCGGCCTTGGGCGCTTCTGCATCACATTCCTGTTTAGATGGTGCTATGTCCACTACGCCAACGACCTCCCCTTGCGCGCCGACGGTATGTGATTTGCGTCCCTTGCATTGGAATATTTCTCTGACTACCAATAGGATATGTACTCGCACTATCACGGCGAAGCCGCAGAGTCTCCCGTACCGCTAACAACTCCGGCAACATGGCACCCGGTCCACGCATCTCAAGCTACTTCGATCTCCCCTTATTTGGAAACCCCGGCAATGTTTCCTCCTGCCGGCGAAGCCTCGGGGCCGCCCGTGTCGCCCTTCGGCCAGGCAGTGTGGTACCCGCCCGACGCGTCTATCGCCCGGTCGAGCTTCTCCTCCTCGGAAA